GTTGAGTTGAGCTGGGCTGGGCTGTTGTATTTGCTCAGGTTCTCATTTCATTGCATGTAGCTCCCCAGGGCTGATGGTGTCTCATTGACTTGTCTGAAACTAGAAGGCATATGGGGGAGGGTCCCTTGGTGAGTGCTCAGGGGCCACAGTGTCATGCTGGAGGGTGTCATTTCGTTTAGAAAGAAGAGCTTTTTAAAATTCATTCTGTCATATAGTCATTGGGGGACATTGCTGGCTTTCTTAGGATGTAGGCAGAGAGGTGGCAGGGATGAGCAGGGCTGGGCAGGCCCAGCTGGCAGAGGGAAGCCTGGCAGTGCTGTGGGGGCTGAGCACACAACCCAAGCCTGGTTGCTGCCAGGCTCCCGGTGCTCACTGGGACTCTTTGCTGGAAGAAGAGTCGGAAGGTTTTGTGTCTTTCCTGAAAGAAGGGTCTTCAGTGGGGCTATGGCTTGCTCTCCTCTCTCCTGTGGACCCCTGGTGGCACTGTGGGTTAAGTGCTGGGCTGCTAACCAAATGGTCAGCTGTTTAAACTTGACATGAAGCCTAAGACAATGAGCTTTTGTCTGAAGCCGAGCTACTCTGCCCTCCAAGCTCCCCAGCCCCCACCCAGCAGACAGTGCCCAGCCCAGATGCCCACAGTGCCCTGTGAAGCCTGCCTGCAAGCTCCAGGAGTTGTGATTTTCTTTTCCGAATCTTCAAACCAAACCCTTCTGTCAAGCCTGGTGACGGCCTGGTGTCCCCAAACTGAGGTTTAATGTTGGCCTCCAGACTTTTGGATCGCTGTCCAGCAATCTGTGACTGTCCATTTGGATCACTGTCCAGCAATTTTAGATCTGTCGTCCATTGCCATCGTAGACCCATGGCGAGCTCGAGCGCAGTGGTGTGGGACATTGCCCGGTCTGTGCCATCCTCCCAGCCATTGGTGTGGGCCGGTTCACTGTTGGCGCCCCTGTGTTTTCTTAGGGTTTTTAGGAGGTTCCTGCTCCAAGTCCCACAATGCTCTCGCAGTCAACAGCATTTCCATTTTTGGTAGCAGGTCGCCACACCTTCCTTCCTGATCTGCCTTTGTCTGGAAACACCCCTGAAATGTAACTTACCCACTGTGGCCACGCCTTCTGGTCACGTGAAAGTCTGGTGGCACAGCTCCCAGCATTACAGCCACCACCCACGAGCCACCGCAGTAAGACTGACAGACAGGTGGTGGGTTGTTGACTTCGTACCTGAAATAAAAGGGAGACCGGTTAGCAGGAGGATCCCCATGAAGTTGCACTTAGGGTCCGGGTTGAAACTGGAGGCGGCCAGCTGAGCTTTCACTGTGAGCGTGGGAACCCCTGTCCCATGAGCATGGGGCCAATTTCACAATGTCTGGTTTGCAAGGTAAATAAGCAAAGCTGGCTTTGAACTCCACCTAAGCCGGTAACTCCGTGAATTTACGGCGAGTGAGCTCAGGCCTCTCCAGGGTCCCAAGGTGCTTGCAGCATTTTGACATTGAAGGCGGTCTGCCCCCCAGCTGCTCTTCTGCTCCCCTGAGGGCGTGCCATCTTGGTTTTAAGGAAACCACCTGCCTTCAGTGGCTGCTGCCGAGGGCCCTGTGCAGCCTGCGGCCCTGGGAGCACATTCCTCAGGCGCCTCCTGGCATGCGGCCCTCTCTGTTTGGATAGCGCCACTCAAAGGAAAGCCCACTTTCACTGAGGCCGCTTTTAACTCTTCAGTGGAAGTGATCCTCTACCTTGGCGAGCTTCCACATGCCCCGAGTCTCCGCCCACTGCGTGGGTAGTGCGGGGCTGGGTCCTCAGCTTCAAGTAGTAACTAAGCCATCTAGCGGTCGGGGGGAGGGGGGGTACTGGGGCCTGCCCCCCCATCTCAACCTTCCAGAACATTCCATCAAGGCTTTCACTGGGTAACTTGGGAGTGTGCCGTTCTGAAGTGAGTGGTGATTCTCTTCTTGAGGGGGGGGGGCAGCTTTATTTTGGACAGGAAGTTGGGAGAACAGGTGTTCTCGGAGGTGGTGTGGTTTTACTGTCAACAGTAAGCGTGGGTGTCATGGCGTTGAGAGGGAGGGTCAGAGAGAGAGAGAGAGGAGGGTCTTAGGGGTCTTTGTGACTTTGGTTCTGTTCCTTTACGGTCGCCTAGAGCGAATCCCGGTCCCCGGGGTCTGGGGGTTTGCTGTTGCTGGGCGCCAGCCTGTCGGTTCTAAACCACTGCGGCGTACAACAGAACGACCACTGCCCAGCCGTGCACCGTCCTCACCACTGTGCTCAGGTTTAAGCCCACCCGTCTCACCCAGGGCCTTCCACTCACTTCCGCTTCACCGGGTGTCCTTTCCGGGGTTGAGTGGGGGAGGGGGGCCCGGAGGTTTTTTTTGGAAACAGGCTGAGCCTGTGTTAGGGGCAGGGCTGCTGCCTTGTGGTGTGAATGTTTGCTTTAGCCCTAGCATGAGAGAATGCCACCCAGGGCAAACACAGGAGGGAACGGCGCTTTACAAATGTTGGCAGAGCCCCAGGATTGGGAGGTCCCAGACATGCCCCTGCCTCGACACCCCCACAGCCCCAGTGTCTTGGGCAGGAAAAGGCTGTTGTGTGCTGGGTGTGAGATGTGCCCCCTCCAACTCAGCTAGGTAGGGGGGGATCAGCTCAAAGTGAGGAAATGAGACCTAGAGAGTCCCGTCCCCCTCTCCCCCTCCCCCCTCCCCCACAGGCCTGCCTGCGCCTCTGAGTGGCACGAAGATGGAGCAGAGGCACTGGGGGTGGCTAAGGGTGGAAACCCTAATTGCCCTGGGCAAAGGATCCCCAGGTTAAGGGAGGGACTCTCAGGGCCAGGGGCCTGAGCTGCAGGCAGCCCGAATGGTCACCAAACTGCAGGAGTGCTGGCAACCCGCAATGGGATGAAGGGCGTCTCCCCAAATGCACATCCCCGCCCTGACCCCTTGGAAAGAGGGTCTTGTGGGTGCAGTTCGTTGAAATCGGGAAGAGGTCACTTGGAGGTGGACCCTCCATCCCACAGCAGGTGTCCTTGTGAGAGACAGGCGGCCTCCCCGCTACCCGAGGGGGCCCGGGGCCACGAGCCAAGAGCAGCCTGTGGCAGGAGGTAAGGACTCAGACCTGGGGACAGCGGCTCAGCGCGAGCAGAAAGGTTGGGAGTTCGAGAGGCGCCCTGATGAAAAGGCTGGTGATGAGCTCCCGAGAAGGTGCCTGGGGGTCAGGGCCACTGTCACCGGGATCACAGGAGCAGGAGTCGGCCCGAGGGCCCCCAACAGGAGGGCGCGTGCATGGCGCAGCCCTGGTGACCCTGTGACATCGGACCTGTGGCCTCGGGGACAAAAGAGAGAGAAGCCACTGGTTTGTGGTGCATTGTGCTGGCCCCCCAGGGACACCAAGGGTCAGGCGTGGGATCTCGGGCGGGCAGGTGGCTGGGAGAGCAGCGCTTACCTGGACTGGCCTCCAGGGACCAGGCTCTCCAGTCCCGGGACCAGGTGCTCAGCAGATGAAGGGGAGGTGTGTCAGGAATGGCAGGTGTGGGTGTGGGTTTGAAATGAGGAGGCGAGGAGGCTGGGGACCTGAGACAGGAGAGTTCAGGGGGGGCAGACTCTCTGCCCCTAACCCCAGCACCAGGCAGGGCGGGGCCCAAGCTCCTGCAAGTGGGAGGGTGCGTCCAGGGGGCAGGGGCAGGGTGCACGTGGCCCGTGGGCTGCGGCCTGGTGAGTGAGAAGGGGTCTCTGGGCAGCGAGGGGCTGGGTGTCAGGGTGGTTGTGAGGGTGACCCATGGGTAAGGTGACCGGACGTCCCGCTTTTGGCGGGACAGTCCCGTTTATTAACAATTCGTCCCGCATCCCACGGTGTTTTTAAAAAGTCCCGATTTTTGGAAAGAATGCACGACAAGCTAGGGTATACGGTTTTCAGCTGCAATGTGGTTATTTTGCCAGGATATGAGTTTTATCAATGGTGTCCTGCTTTACCAATGTTAAAATCTGGTCACCTTACATGGGGCACTTGGGGCAGCAGCAGCAGTGATCTGGCAAGCCTGTTCCTTAGGGAGGGGTGGGGTCAGCAGGATCCGGGCCGGGAGGGTTCTTGGGTGGTGGTGGGTGCCCAGGCTGTGTCTCCTGTGACCCCCAGCTCTCCTCTGTCCCCCAGACGGCGTCCACAGCGTCACGGCCCTGTGCACACTGCGCGTCACCATTATCACGGACGACATGCTGACCAACAGCATCACTGTCCGCCTGGAGAACATGTCGCAGGAGCGCTTCCTGTCGCCGCTGCTGGGCCTCTTCGTGGAGGGCGTGGCGGCCGTGCTGGCCACCGCCAAGGACGACGTCTTCGTCTTCAACGTCCAGAACGACACGGACGTGAGCGCCAACATCCTGAACGTGACCTTCTCGGCGCTGCTGCCCGGCGGCGGGCGCGGCCGCTTCTTCCCGTCGGAGGAGCTGCAGGAGCACATTTACCTGAACCGCACGCTGCTCACGGCCATCTCGGCCCAGCGCGTGCTGCCCTTCGACGACAACATCTGCCTGCGCGAGCCCTGCGAGAACTACATGAAGTGCGTGTCCGTGCTGCGCTTCGACTCCTCCGCGCCCTTCCTCAGCTCCACCACCGTGCTCTTCCGCCCCATCCACCCCATCACCGGCCTGCGCTGCCGCTGCCCGCCCGGCTTCACCGGCGACTTCTGCGAGACCGAGATCGACCTCTGCTACTCCAGCCCCTGCGGCCCCCACGGCCGCTGCCGCGCCCGGGAGGGTGGCTACACCTGCGAGTGCCTGGACGACCACACGGGTAGGTGTGGGTGTTTGGGGTGACCCCCTGTGTCCGGGGTTGGGGGCTGACCGTGGCCTCTGCCTGCCTGCTTCCCTCCAGGGAAGGAGCCAAGGTCGGCTCTTGCCCTGGAGGTGCAGGAGCTGCACACTCCTTCCCTGTCAGGTGAGCAGGGAGAGTCAGCTCCGGGGTCTTCATTGAAACCCACCCCCTGGGTGGCAGTGCCAATGCCACCCATGCTCGGTGGCTGCACCGACGGTCACCCTGAGCTCTGTGCCTGGCAACCAGCCCAAGGGAACCCCCAGAAGCCCAGCTCGCCACTCACACCCACAGGTGCCCTCGTTGGCACAAGCGGGTGCTGCAGGGCTGCCCCACAGGGGTGGCACAGAAGAGCATGCCTGTCCTGGCAGTTGGGGGACACAAGTGCACATCGGGGTCTCGACATGTTGCAGGGCGACGTTTGGTTCCTGGGCTGTGGACGGTCCTCACACAGCCCCCGTGGCCCCCCTACCCGACCCCAGGTGCTGCCCTTTTGCCCCGCCTGCTCTCTGTCTAACTCAGGAGTGCCCGGTCTAGGACCCACCCTGACACATCGGAGAAGCCCTTGCTTCCAAGCAGCCCCCGGCCCCAGGGTGAGGGTCCCACTGCAGGTTTGTGGGCTGGGAGAAGAGTCAGGCGGACAGGTCCCCGGGTGCTGCAAAGGATTGGTGGTTTAAGTGTCGCCCCTGGGCACTGCAGGAAGAAAGGCCTGGTGACCTGCTTCCATAGAGATGACCCAAAGCAGGACACTAGATGGCTGCCGGGTGTCGGTTGTGACCCAGAGCAGCCTGGCGGTGTCAGGGGAGCAAGCCCCGGACA